CTTATGTTACAACAGTGGCTGCCAAAATTTCCTTTTTTGTTGCCAAGGTGTTGAGCTTAACTAAATTCTTACACTGAATGCCATTCACAATAGTTTAAGAAAATTGTGAGATATTTCTCGTTACCGATCTTTAAAACAAATTATTTTTATTGAGCGGCTCCAACAAGTAAATATTATATTAATCAAAGATAGTAGCTTCTTTAGATTTTTCAATAGCAAACACTATTAGTTTTTATTTGAATTTATAAAACATTCAATTTTCTGATGCCAGCACGACAGTTTGTTAGCCATTCAAACAGTTTGACAGCCAATCTTGTAGGGTTGCCGCTACAATTCCTCAATAACACCATTGTTGCAACTGAATTTCAAAGTCGCTACTTGCAACCCTGCGTCTACATTGGGGCAGTAGAAAAATGCCAACAAAAGAGAATCCAGAAGAATTCAACTTGTCGTCTGTCATAGTTGTCGTCGGGTGTATGTAAACGCGGTTTGCGTCCGTCGCTTTTTTTCTGCACAAGTAATATTTAACACTCGCATTTCTCACAATAAATTTATTTAATTTGTTCATGGTGCTTTGCATAAAATTAGTGTGTGTATGTTTATGTTAATATTCCAATAAATATATATGAGGCACAAAGTGGAGGTGATTAATAACGTTTATACATATATATATATAAGTAGCAGTGGAAAGGAGTAAGAAAAGGCGACAAACTTGAGTACAAAAGCGGAATGAAAGATATTCCTTTGTGCTGCTGGTTGGAATTCGGTGTTGCTGGTATGCGTGTGTGTGTGTGCTTCTAGAAAAGCAGGAATTATGGCCTGAAACGAACCTAACAAAAATCAAGTGAATTGTCTGCATATATGGTCACCTAACTTAATGAAGCGTAAAGAAAAGAAATATAATAAAAAAAGTGTGCTATTCAAAATTTGTTATGTGCATAAAAGGCAACAGTGTGCCGCTAACCAAAAATTATTTTTAAGTTTTTTTGTTGCTATTGGCGCTTTGCTACTTTGCAACGCCCACACGCACTATAATAAATAAAATATATATTTGTAGCAACACATTACTGGGTAGCCGTACGACAAGTCGTGCAACTGGAAGACGCTCGGTACGTCTTCGATGCGGCTTGTTATGTCTGCGTACGTTGTTGTTATTGTTTTACAGGATATTGAACTTGTGTAGCGTTTCGCCTGAAAGGGTCATATTTTCTAGTGATCTGGCAACTCACAGCAAACAGGCCTCAGGCCTGCTTGTAAAAACAACAATATTCATTATCAAAAAAAAAAAAAAAACAAGATTTTTGTGCGCACAGGTTTCTTGAATTGCATGTGACTCACTTCAATTTATGTAATCTCCACCAAAGCGGCTTAAGCCGGAATGGAATTCTTTCCATTTTACATATAATTCTTCACAATTCTATTTCAATAATTAATTTGCCTATTTTCAATCAATCTTCATCAATTTAATTGCAATGCTCTAAATCAGCAGCAGTGAAGCAGCCAGTAATTGCTGTCTCGAAATCTGCTCCACTCTAAGCGATCTCCATGCAAACATACGTGCATACATGTATATATAAATCTTCTCTGAGTTTGTTTAAATTTCTGTATACACGTACATATACATAAGTCCGTGGGGCCAGCGAAGATGTCATAGACATCGCCGATGAATCTATACAAAAACAAAACTCATTGAAAGTAAATAAAGTAGACAGACCAAAAAGCGCATCGTACAAAATTTGTAATACAAAAATACATATGTACATATCTACTTACATATATATTTTAATATGTTCGTATGAAATGCTAAACGACACCACGAATGCACGGCGCAGCGTAGATAGCAAGAATGTTCAAAACGAATTGAATTCGAATACAAAAACAACAACAAAAAAGATAGTAGAAAATCAGTAAGAGCAACAATCAACAACAGAAATAACAATAGCCGCATAGCGCATGGGTCAACGCGTAGTTTTCAACGACACGAGGGGTATAAAATTTCGTTCGAGAACAAAACCTGACAGCACAGCATAGCGCAGAACGTTGGCAACAACGCAACAAACAAAAAGTAAACATGCATACCTATCTTCTCTATGTGTGTGTGTGCATGTACACATATAGCAAGCACAAATAACAATTCGCCGAAATATGCCGATTCAGGTGACGTTGGCAGCGCAGTGGCGCACTCTTTTCTTCTGCTGAGAAATCAAATAAACAACAATAACAACGTTGTTGTCGGCATTACCAGATGGTTGTGACTTATTTTTGTGCAGTTTGGCATTCGTGGGAGTGTATTTTGCTAAAGTGGCTGTCAGTTAAAATTTAGTTTTTGCCTTTTGCACATGTTTTTTCAACTATCTGGCGTACTCAAGGCTGCAAGTTTTCAGATGCTCTCATTTTTACATGTATTTCCAAAGAGAAAAAACCTTAGACAATTTCTTTCTTGTTATTGCAACCAGTTAACTTTTATCTATCTAGAATTGACTGAATTGACTTCGATAATGAATAACCGCATGCCTCTAACCACATCTTTGCACGTGCAATGAATCCCAGTCATATAACTTCCATCTCCTATGGTCCGCAACCGTCGAAACAACACCTAATCTGAGCCTATCTGATGATTTCGAAGGCAACAAAATTGCTGCTTGCAGACGATGAGCTCGAGTTGCTTAGAGAATCTAGAGTGTCGCTTGTGCTACTTCATTTTATACTGTGTGAGGTTAAACTCGTACTTATCCAGAATCGACTCCGTTGTAGCAACTATATATTCATGGGTCCCCGCATGACACCAACCACCTTTTTGCATACCCAAAAAACCCCTCTTTCTAAGATCCTATCCTGGCGAAATTACCATTCCCGCTTGGAAAGCAGGGTAGCAGTAGAAATGATGTCAGAAGTAAGCATCTTCACTGGTGCCAGACCACAAAGGTATCTAGAGCAATGAAATAGTGGACGAGATTGCCAACGGTCTCGACAGAAGCCTAGTAAAGAAAATTAAAACTTGTTCCATGAGCTGCCTGGGTGCAAGGCTGCAAAAGTCATATGCAAAACGGTAAATCAGAAGTTCACAAAACTGCTATTGGCAGTATATAGAAAAGACTGTAAGAAAATTATTGGAATACTAACTAGTCACTGTTTGGTTGCGGCACACGCCCGTAGAATGGGGCTTACAATTCAAGAAGTTGCAGAAAATGCTTAGAGCAGGGCACCGCACCATTGAAATAGTGGAGCATCTCTTGTGCACTTGTCCCGCATCGACGAGACTACGCTGTAAACATCTGGGGTCCCCACGGCATGATACACTGGAAGAACTCCAACTGGTATCGCAAAGGACCCAAACTAGTCTACGCGTGACTCATTGGCCTAATTGCTAAACGCTTGTTTAAGAGACTTGTTCGCCTTTGTGTACCGATGTTAAAATGCGGTTCCAAAACTAAAAACACAAAAATTTTATTAATTTTGTTTTAGCTTTTAATTGGATAGATTTTCATCAAAACGAATCCAATAAGCTGTTTAAATTGTTTATATTTTGTTTCGATAAATGCCAAACTTATATATTAAATATTATAAGTCATAAAGAACTTACTTTTCAAGTTCTCCTGTCTGACTATTTTATCTTTTGGTAAGCCTCAGACTTGTGTTGATTGTCATCTAAAACTATCAAACAATCGACTGCTTTTGTGTTTACTGCCTGATAAATTTTATGCTCTGGCTTAACATGCTCTATTTTTATACCCTGAAGAATATTAGTTTGTAACACACAGAAGGAAATGTCGGAGACCCTCAAAAGTATATTTAAAACCGATCAGTCTGACGAGCTGAATCGATTTTGTTGTGTCCGCCAGACTGTACACAATAAGTCGCGTCTTTTTTTTCTCTAAAAAGCAGTTTTTTGTCGTAACCGCCGATATTAGACCACTATAGCATATGGCTGTCACACAAGTTGTCCGATCAAAATCAAGTCCTTGTCCATACATTCTTGATAAAATATCATAAAAAAAAATTTTTAATGATTACTGTCCAAGGCAGCTCTACAATATCCGAAAAATTATTTATATCGGACGACTATAACAGATAATACAAACGCACCATCTCCAAATCTAGTTCTTGAAAGGACGGACATTTTTTCAAATGAAGAATACTATAACTTCGGTACAAACGAATAATCACATATACAAACGCATATAATTTCACCAAATAGTACATTTCACTAATCCCCTGATCATCTGGCAGCATTGTCGTTATATGAGGATAAAGAGTTGATTGAGCTTTACGCCGCTTTGGCATAGCATAGCAAGCGCGCTCCGCACCCATACGTCAAACGCTTGCGGTGGGGAGTAGCCTGTAGGTGAGCAATGGAGCTAGCGAAATGTGCGCTGCCGCTGCCGATGTGCTGATTTCGTTGCTCAGCTTGCTGGTTCATTCTTCAAAGCTACGTCGTGCGGGCGCTACGTACAAATGTATTCTATCTATCAACTTACACATGCAAATTCTATTCATACGTTATTCCGCTAAAATAGAACAAACGTGAAAATAAACCAAAAAAAAAAAAAAACGGTCGTAAAATAAATATAAAATATCAAACAAAATTGCTGGCGTGTGCAGAACAAGTGTTTGCCAAATTACTGAAATGTAAAATATCATAAAAACCGAAAAAAGTGGAAATATTATATTAGTTGGTTTTATTGTGGGCAATAAGTGCGGAAATCTCATGCGAATTAAAAGCTTTTAAAATTTTCAAACAAAAAAAGTTAATTGAAAGTATATTTAGAACACACATGTTTTTTAACGTGTTTAAATATAATTTATTTTTTTTTTAGGTGAATAGTTTAGTGCAGCGTGAATAAACACACAAACAGCTGAAGGCTGAGTTAACATACAAATATACGTATATTTTCAAATTTACTAATTTTAACGCAAGTACATAAGCAAAACACCAAATTTTATCAATAAAATTTAAACTAAACCATAATATATAAATAAAAGAAAACAACGAAGGCTGACAAAAAACGGAAAACACACAAAATAAATACAAAAATTAACTTTTAAGCAAAATCTAAAGGAAAAAAAATTTTTGCGTACTGCAGATAAACACCATTAATTGAGCGTTTTATTTTAAGCACAAATTAATTAAACAACAACAATCGCTTTTAATTAAAACGATTGTATAAATACACCGCCAAACAGGGATAGCAACAACAACAACCGTAAAAAACCAACACAACAATATTTCATAGCGCAAAGTTATAACGCAACAAAAAAAAAGTTAATCAAAATGGAAGCAATTGCCAAACACGACTTCTCAGCAACTGCCGATGACGAATTGAGTTTCCGCAAAAGCCAAATTTTAAAGGTAAGTCGCTACCAAGCTGATAAATATGTATACGCGAAAAATAGATAAAATGCATGACAAAGTCCGTAAAAGTATGTGTGTCAGTGGGTGTTGGTGGTCAGCGAGGCCACAGGCGCTTGAGGTCAGCTGGCCGCATTGTAAACATCGATATACATATGTATGAATGTATACTCGTATAAATCTATTTTCTTACAGCTGATAAGGTCTTTGTTTAATTTTATTTTTTCCTTTGTCTTGTTGTTTTTGCTCCAGTTTCATGATACTGCATTGCTGCATACATTTTAGCGCTGATTTATGGCTTTGTTATTTATTTTAAGTGTATCTTCCTGCTACGCTTGCTAGTAATTAAGAGAAGAATACTTAAACTTCAATAGTTCTGGTGCCGTTAGCATATATAATATATTTTTTCTCTTATAACAGTTGATTGTACTATATTTACTTAGCAGCTTAAGTATGTACAAATTGCATTCATAGACATCTGCGATAGACATAGTACCCTAGGCCATTGCCGGCAGCGCGGGCTCAGGGAAGCTGAATCTATGAAAGGGTCCAACTTGAATCACTGCTTCGTAGAGGCGGTTTTATTTCTGCGCACATACCGACGAGAGGTATGTGGATGGAAAGCAATCGGTAGAAAAGAGGCGTTGTGAGCTTTTTCACGGATGGATCGAAGCTAGGAGGGAAAATGTTCTGTAAGGAGCTCTACATGAGCCTTAGGTTTATGCTATCGGACCACTGTGGTGATTTTTAGGCAGAAGTGACTGCTATTAAGGTGGCGGTACTGGCGCAAAGGGCATTTTCTTTCAGGGAAATGGATATTCACTCCAACAGCAGAGCGGCAATACAAGCGTTGAGCTCGCCGCATGTGCGCTTAAAGCTATTGAAAGAGTACATCCAGTTTGGGTGTCCGGTCATAGCGAAATCGCTGGCGGCTGCAAAGCTGACAAACCAACCTGTGGAACTCTAGCCCCGTTTATCCCTGTTAGATTTGCCTTGGCATCTTGCATTCTAGCACTGGTCCAATGGACCTCTTGTGCGCTTAGTAGGTGCTGGTCGAAGAACTGCTCCAGAGTGACTGCAATATTATTTTGGTCCTAGAATAGTATAGAGGAGATCTTCTAAACTACTTGCACTTAGCAAAGTCTTTTTTGCATCAATTATAGGGGACCCTACTGGACATTGTCCAATAGGCATTCAAGAGAGCAAGGTAGAAACATTCAAGCACTCTATCCAACCTTTGCAAGACTTTAGACTTAAAAAGTCCTGCTTTCGGCGAACCAGTCTCAACAATTTTGTGATGGGCTCGAAGCGCTTTCTCAATTTTTGTACAGAAGTTTCATGTAACACAACGAACCGACATTCTAATATATGCAAGTGTATTCCCGGTTAGAATCGCTCTCATAACCTAACCTAATGTGTAGTTGTTTCTTTTGACAAGATTTTTTAAGTGATGAAAATACTTAAAAGACATCTGAACTTAAAAAGAACAGGGCTCAGCAACATATAGATGGTCATAGGGGCTGTCCACCGATCACACTTTTCTGGAGACGACATTACTAAGAAAATATACTTTGAAAAAGTCATAAAATTTCACTGGGCAGTACAAACGACAGAAAGCATTCCGCTCTCAAAGAGTAGAGAAGACTACAACAGCAGATGTTGAGTTTTCCAAATGTTTTTCAAGCTGAGATATTCGCCATGAAGTAGTTGGAGAGGCTATTTTACAGAATTTATCATTATCAATGTTAGTCAAGCGGCATTTCAGCTAATCGCGTCACTGCAGGCTAAGTTGTCATCTGCACAAATTGCGATACTGCCTTAGCGATCTACATAATAGATTGTCAAAAAAGTCGTGCGGTATTTTTTTTATTGAATTTTCAATTGTTCATAAAATTTTTTTTGATGTCTCATGCGCAGCTGTTGACCGATGCTACGGCTACTATTATGCCGCTCTCTTTCGACCAATTCAGCGATTTTATCGCAATTTATTTTTATTTTTATAATTTTATCGCAAATCTTCGACAACCTCTACACCAGAACGAATACGTTGAAACCATCGTTGTGCGGTGGAAATGGAAACTGTATCGGGTCCATAAACTGCACAAATTTTATTGGCGGCTTGAGATGCATTTTTGCTTTTATGGTAGTAGTACCTTAAAATATGACGTATTTTCTCA